CCTCAAATGCATTGCAGGGAGTCAGTAGGTGGCTTAGGACCGTTCCTTATGGCTATGGGGGAGGTCTATGTAGTAGATGGATGATGGCTTAAATTATGATAATATCCACTTATATTTTAATTTCACAGTATGAAGCGATAATAATAATACTATATATAATAATAATATGGCGATAAATCTGGAAGAATTTGGAGTGATTTAAATTTTGATGTCACAATTAATTGAAGTAAATTATTTAATTAATGCAGGTGGCTCAGGACTATTGTTTATGGCAGTCTATGGGGGAGGCTTATGTCCAGCAGTGGACAGGTAATGGTTGAAATGATGATGATGATGATTTAATTAATCGAATCAAACCTAATACTTATAAAAATGCTATTGTATTTTCAATTCTTTGCAAATATGAGATATGAATATAAGTAATCTAAAAAGGTAGAAAGTTTGCATGGAAATAAGTGAAGAAAATTCAACAAGTACAAACTACTTTTATTTTATAGTGAGAAGCAAAAACAAAGGCGGGTAATTTTAACTCCGTTATCTTCTTTTTCCCTGAAAATCTGTTGGGCTGGCAAACTAAATTTCCATATTATAAACAATAACTGAACAGACGATATACAATCGATAATAAAGGCATGTGTTCCGATAATATTTTCGCAACAATGTTATTTGTTCAATAAATTTACATTCCTAGTATGCTGGGCTTAGGTAATATAAAATTTTGCCCCGCAAAAGCAGACAAAATTAATATGGTCCCAAAACTGACAAAATCTTTTTCAGAATTTACCAATAATATTTTTTATAACGGATGATAATGGAATGGCAAACTCGCTTACGCTAATGGTATATACTTATGGGGCACCAGTGACAGGTGAGGATGACAAGGCAGGTCAGTTAGCCCACCGTGATGAATACACCTGGGATCAGTACGATGGTTTCCAGGGGGGGACCACATGGAGATCGATCTGACAGGGTATATTGCTAGCAATTGCAATGGGAGTCAGCTAATAATAATCTACCTTGACTAGTGTATTAGATACATAACACCTATAGAAAATACATTTTAAACTTTAATGTCATTGCCATATCTCACACTTCTGCGCTGAATCACAGTTCGAAGCTACTAGGCGGCTAAAATGAGAGGTAGGTCAGAGGTAGACGGAATCTACGTACATAAATTTTTATAAAGTCTCACTATGGTAAATATTCTTTATTCAGCAGAGTCGTTGCTGAAAGTTTTGGTAAAGATTACGAACATGTATTGAAAAAAGATATTAAATACTAGATAAGAGAAAACAAAGTGGCACAGTCGAAGGCAAAAGCAGACATTAGGTATTGCGGTACATAATAACTGGAAGCGGATGGAAATTAGAGACCTTGCAATAAGTTGTTAGTAATTTTGATTATATGAGGGCAATTATTATTAATTATTGCCAATACTAATTAAATATATTTACGGCAATAAACATGCTACAATGAATTGTTTAGGAAATAACATTTTCCAGTTAAACTTTTTTTCTGATTTGGACAAATTAATTGGTTTTCTAGCGATTTGTAAGTGGACAGGTGATGGATTGTTTACCTTGACTGATTCGGTTTTTAAACCTGATGAGTGAGGTGATAATAAAACATCTAAAAATGTTTACAAGAGAGAAAATTTTTGGTAGGCATGATGACTCTGTTTTTGAAGATCTTAAGTCTATAACTAATATTTTGTTATGGCTTATTAAGTCAGAAAACTACTTGCATCTTAAATCACAGGTAACCGCTAGATTAATGCACAAAAATATATAAAATTACAGAGTAAGGAAGAAGGGTGCATAGAAGATCAGGTTGATAAGTGATGTGACCCTATAAATGACTACGAGTCGATGTTCCGTTCGTGTTTGCATACAATGTTCATCTGCGAGCGTCATACAACCGTGTATGATAGACATTAGTATCAGACAGAGGATTGCATGACAGTTTGTTGTATGATAAATTATGATAATATAATGTATATGTTTGTTAGAATTAAGTATATTATAAATATTCTACAATATTTTTTTTTTAAATGGACAATTTTTAAGCGATTACAAAAACCAGGTTTTCAAATCGCCTATATTTTTATGTGTATATTACACGATATCTACGCTAATTTTCAATCGATATTGGTATTTTTTTCTGCAATCTGAAAAGGAGGTTTCCAATTCGGCAAGAAAAACATACATTTTTGTTTATATTATGCAAACTTCGCCATACCGAAGCTGATTTTTATAATACTTTTCTTAGTGCCATATGAATTTTTCACCAAAAGAAGTAATGGCTTTTATGGAACAAAACCTATAAAATAAAAAAAAAAAAATACTGAAAATGGAATATAATGGAATACAAGGAATATCGTACAGATTAATAGATTACTTAATTGTTGGCATTATATTCGTATTTCCGAAGGCAGAATGGCCCGATGCCAGTGACAGGATGGGTCAACAGCCCTCTATACTACTATACTACGAAACAGGTTGATCAGGTTGTTTTCTAAATACGTGAGAGATGTGACACAGGAATTTACTTTTTTTTATCCCGATTTAATGGCTATGATAGTGGTAAGTCTTAGATAAAAATACTCTAGGCTCTATCTATGCCAACAAATACAGTCCAACTTTGTTTTTAAAATATGGCGCGCTTTTAATTGCGTTAATCTTGTAGTTGGTGAATTTTATCGCGAAACTGTCATTTTATTTATAATTAAGTAAGTACCACATCATCAATGTTTTAAGTCCATGTGAACATTTAAATACTTACCGACCTACTATGAAAATCAACGAGTCAGCCAAAAATTTGCGAACCATTGTTTGACCGTTTTTTGACATCTTCGTATATATATAGATAACCATAGGGTAATAATAGAAGTTTTATTTATTAGGTATCTAACAATAGTAACAGTACTATATTTAAATTTTTTTCTTATATTCTCTTATATATTTCTATGTTACAAATATAATTCTTCACATGTCTAATTAAAATATTTAAATTTTATATATGTCAAATCATAAAAAAATAAAATACAATGTATACAGTATAATTTTTTATAACTATCTTCAGCAAAGAATGTTCTCCATTTGTATGTATTTTCTGTATGTGTTTTCGCTAGAGAAATGGCAAATTAATCTGTAGATATATATACTTTATTATCTTATATCTATAAATACATATATATTAAACAAGCTATAAGAATCTGATTGTTAAATTAATATTTTAGTTTATGGCCATCATAGTACCTATATATCTGTTATAACAGACACTGAAAAAAAAAAATTGTTACAGCTCTCTGGATGGATTGAAACAAGAATAAGAAATTTTATAGGGTTATCACAGATATGGAATATTCAGTCCATGAAACCGACTCGAACTTGACCCATTTTATCAGTATCTGTAATTTTATTTCTACAATTTTTATGTATGTATATTTCGGTTTAGGTTTATGTCAGAATGGTGACTACTGCAAATTAAAATTTAAATAAGTAAGAGTTTTCATGAACCATTGCAGTAGTAAAGATGGCTATTTTCCTTTATTTATGTTTAGGTGTAACATAGGGATAAAGTTGACAGCATCTCAGTAATTTATTACAGTTAATACAAAAGACATTGCTCTTAAAACATATCCACCTGCCAAGTGTGGCAACTACTTCTGGAGAAACCTCCCCTTCTGGGGAAGGATTGTGTTCAGCAGTAAACAGTTAAGGGCTAATATGATACAAAAGAACGAGAAGTTCTTAGATTCTGAATATACCATTCTCAATTTATTATGTAATAACAATTAATTAATTATATTTGATTTATCATGACACATACATACTACCACTACACATTCAATTGCTTATGTTCATTTAAATAATATTATAAATACATTATTAAGAAGGAAACATTAAAATGATGTTGTCTATTCATTTTACTTTAGAGACTATAATATTTTCTATTTTTATTAAAAAAAGAAAATATTATTAAGAAAGACAGAACTATATAATAATATTTATATAATTTATATTTTTTTATTAATTAAAATAAAGAAACTAATATTTTTTATACCCACATATGATTTCGTATTGTCAAAATTGCAATGAGGCTATCTATTAAAAAAAAAATTTGCTCATAACTGATAACCATTAATATATTGTGTAACATCAATACACACAAATAAATCTAAAAAAAAAAAAAAAAATGGAATTGAGAACCTCTGTTTCAGATAACTCAAAATGAATTAGCATAACTGTTGAGATTAAACATCCAAGGCTGCTTTTATTCTATTTAATTAAAAAAAAAGATAAGTAATAAAGAGTATTCATTCAAGCATTTATCAATATTAGACTGCCAAATCATATATAACATACAAAAATAAGTGGCAACAGGCAAAGTATACATAAAAATAGATGAGTTGAAATAACCACATTATTTCTGCAAAACTAGCACAGCAGTTCGGGTGTCTCCGTTCAACTGTGTTGCTGGCGTTCATGTTATTTATAAATCTGACCACTTCCCTAGACATGTCTCATATATTAACAGCACCGAATATTTATTTTAAATGTGTTCTGAAAAGACTAATGGCACAATGATTTAATAAATTAATCAATGGCCCATATTAATCCAGTTGACGGTCCAGTCCAAAATTATCCCATCCGGTACATAAGTACTATAAATAGTTGTCAGTATTGCCCTGGAAATGATAAGATGCGGCCCGCATGTGGCAACATTCGTGAACTAATTGACATACATTGATTGTAAGGTGTAAACAAATTATATGGATTATCACAGATACTAGTGTACTTGGAGCGGCGAGCAACAGGTGAAACTATGTTCACACAGAAACCGGCTAAAGACAGGCGCGAAACCCGATCCGGCGCGACACAGATCCCTTCGATACCAACTTTCACAGCACTAGCCGGGCCACTCAAGCCAGCTCTTGAACCATCACCTCTCCAAAGAGAACACTTCCAACACGTAAACTGAACATAAACGATAAATACCTTTTCCTTCGCTCGTCCGGCATGTTTTTGCACTGTTTTCGCAATTAACGCACCTTTACTTTCGGCCATATCTATCACTTTTTCATAACCGACTGTCTTTATTTCTATACACTATCAATCTGCAACCGAATTTGGCTGCAGCTGTTTGCTGTCACACGTCAAAATCCAAATACGTGCTACCGCCGAGCCGTATTGTGGCGAGTGAAAGAAAACTGGACAACTAGCGCCTTAGAAACAGGTGGATAGAATGCGTAATTTGTGTAGTTCTAAATTTTTATAATAGGTGGCTCTATGCTTTAGAAAAAGGTAGTTGTTTTGGTCCCATTATATTAGTTTACTGTTTTAATGATAGATGTCATCCTTGTGTTTAAGTTTGTGGTTTTTCATCTTTATAATAGACACATAGGTAATATATTTATAATGTTATTAGAGATCATGTGCGCCGTGTTGTCCCGGCTCGGAATAGGCCACTCTTTCTACTCCGTGGATATCGTAAGAGCCTGCTAAGGGAAGGTGAGAGATGGGCAGCAGCGTCCTTCTTAAAACATCTCTAAAACCTGACTGCAGTTGCCAACCCGCCTGTCGTAAGCGCGGGAAACGTTTAAAAAAGCGGGAGTGTTTTTTGATCTTCTTTAAATTAATTTTATTTTTATTTATATAAGGATTAGTCTTTTTTATATATTGTGTATTAGATTGTATATTTAATTGTATATTTTGTAGTAATAGTGTTTGTTGCTGTAAATATTGGTAAGTAAATTACCTATATTAACATTATGGATCCACCTATAGACCCTGGGGGGACAACCCCCAGGTGTCTGCAAATATAACTATTCCATTCAATAATAGTTTTGATATATTAGGTGAATCTAGTATGGACACAGATGGTTCTAGCGTTGCAAGTTCTAAACGTAAGCGAGTACGTGGTGAACGTCGCATTTGCAAACATTGCAATAAAAAACGAAGGAGGCACACCAAGGGTCTTGAATCTAAAATTAAAGATAGTGATTGTCAATGTATTGAAGATGAGAATCAAACTCAAGTATCAATACCAGTTGTAAACAATACCGAGTCTGTTAAACCTGCTTCTCCACCCAGTACTTTAAGCAGAACTTTGTACAATGCCGAGGATATAGCACCTTATGTCGTTCATGTACAAAAAAATGAAACACATCCTAATGATAACACTACATTACATCCTATTGCATTTGGTCGCTTTTTACACACTAATAAGATAAATAATATAGTGAATGGTAGCCTCAAAAGAATAGGAAGAAACCGTTTATCGCTTTCTTTCTCAAATTTTGAAAATGCAAATGCATTTTTAAATAATAGTAACTTAGTGACACATAATTTTAAGGCATTTATACCTTCTTTCCATGTAACCCGTATGGGAATTGTGAGGGGTATTCCTAAAGATTGGACAGAAGAGGAAGTAATCCAAAATATATCAGTACCGATAGGTTGTGGGAAAATTCTAAAAACCAGAAGAATAAAGAAAAAGACAATTAATGAAGGACAACCAAGTTTTATTAATACTGAAACCATTGTTATTACTTTTGATGGACAAATATTGCCAAAAAGAGTATTTATGTTTTACACATCATTAACTGTAGATTTGTACATTTACCCTACTATCCAATGCTATAACTGCTGTAGGTTCGGACATGTCAAGATGCAGTGTCGTTCAAATCCTCGGTGTTATAAATGCAGGCAAAATCATACAGGTGATAAATGTGAAGTAGATGAGGAAAATGTTTCTTGTATCTTGTGTAATGGTTCTCATTCAGCAATTAGTAAAAAATGTCCTGAATATGCACGTCAGAAAGCCATTAAAGAAACAATGACCCATAGTTGTGTTTCTTATGCTGAAGCATCAAAATTTCATCCTCCAACTTCTAAACTATATTCAGATGTATTAACATCATCATCTCCTTCCAATAAATCTCATTTTCAATCTTCTTTCCTTAAAGAGAAATCATCATTACCACATATACAATCATCATATAAAAAAACAGTTACACTTAAACCACGCTCTCCTCAAAAAATACAACAAGGATATGATCGTTCTGCCCATGAAGCCATAGTTAAGGAATATAATATTCCTGCTCCCTCTAATGGTTGTGCATTATCATCAAATAATATTGACAATAATCAATCCATCATTGATATTATTCTCATGCTTATTAAAGTGTTATCGCAATCAAAAATGATACAAACAACTTTACCACCGTCCAACGATGCCATGTACAATGTATTTTCTCAATTATTAACTTCTCACAATGGATTACAAAGTCCAAATAATTCAGTGGAACTGTCGTAGCATAACAAATAAGAAATCAGACTTATTTTATTTGATTAATAAATATAATCCTTTTATAATAGCTCTACAAGAGACTTGGTTAAAGCCAGGATATCCTTTTAGGATTTCAGGCTTTACAAGTCTCCGTGATGATAGAGCTGACGGATATGGCGGTGTTGCCATATTGGTCAAAAACTCCCTTCTTTTTTCTTCTTTTTCGCTTCCTGTATATAGCGGCATTAATGCAGCTGCTATAATTATAAATGGTATCTGTTTTGTTACTTTATATATTCCTGATCCTACATGCCAAATATATTCACAACTAGAACAATTATTTTCAATTTTACCTAAACCTTTTCTCGTAATGGGCGATTTTAATGCTCAGCACCAATCGTGGGGCAGTTCTACTTCTAATTTTTATGGTGGAAAACTCCTGACGATAATTGACACTTACAAATTATGTATTATTAACTCAGATGTACCGACACGTAGAACTGCACCGAATGAAGGGTTTAGTGCTCCTGATATTTCAATATGTTCTTCTGATTTAGCTTCTTCACTGTCGTGGTATCCTCATTCCTCTACCTTCGGAAGCGATCACTTTCCCCTCATTCTTTCTTTTCCAATTTCCATTCCCTCAAGTCGAAAGAGTGGTCCTCGACTTAAATATAATTTATCAAATGTAGACTGGAATATTTACAAACAATATTTAGATAATAAAATATCGGAGTTACCTATTGTTTATCATGGAAATGAACATCAATGTTGTAATGACTTGATAATTAATATGAAGGAGGTTGCTGATTTATTATTTCCTGTTAAAAATAGTGCTTCAGGGAAAATTCCCTCCCCACCTTGGTGGGACAAAGATTGTACGGAAGCAATTAAAAATCGTAAAGAGGCTGAAAAAAATTATAATAATTACATGACATCAGAAAATTTTGAAATTTACACCGCAGTTTCACGTTCTACTCGAAAACTACTGAAAAAAAGAAATTGGAAGGTTGGAGAAGATTTTGTTCTTCTATCTGTCCAGAAGTTAATTCATCAGTCGTTTGGAATAATATTAAAAGATTCAGATCTGCCTTCAGTGATCATACATCACGTTCTGCACTCGATTTAACTTTAGCGAATAAATTTTTAGATCGCCTTGCTCCTAGTTATGTGCCGGAATGCCTTTACAATATTTCTCTATCCGTCTCTGACGAATTATCCGAACTTGAGTCTCCTTTTACTCTTGTAGAACTTAAAGGTGTTCTAGCTTGTATTAAAGACTCTGCACCGGGAGAAGACGGTATACCGTATTCCTTTTTTAAAAATGCTAGCGATGCGACATTAATTTACTTTTTAAATATAATTAATTCCATAATTATTTCGGGAAATATACCTACTTCATGGAAGTCTCAGATTATTATACCATTTCTAAAGCCTCATAAACCACCTTCTGAACCATCTTCATACCGTCCTGTTGCACTTTCCTCTGTCTTACTAAAGCTAGCTGAACATTTAGTGAAGAACCGTCTAGAATGGTTTTTAGAAAGTAATAACTTACTATCCCCGAACCAGTTTGGTTTTAGGAAAGGTAAGAGCACCTTAGATAATGTGAGCGTTCTTATTTCAGATATTCATATAGCTTTCTCACAAAATTTGTCAATCCTCTCAGTCTTTTTAGATATAAATTCTGCCTATGATAATGTAATAATTTCTATTTTAAAAACTAAATTACAAGCTTTAAATGTACCGGTAATGCTTTCTAATTTCATTATTAATATTTTATCAGAAAGAACAATACATATGGATCTAGATGAAGATACCAAATTATCTAGAACAGTATGGAAAGGCCTTCCACAAGGATCTGTTCTCAGTCCAATTTTATTCAACATATACACATACGATCTAGAATCATTCCTTGATAAATCCGTAAAAATTTTACAATATGCTGATGATCTCTTATTATATTTTATTGCGAAGTCCATAGAATCTGCTTCTGCCAAATTATCTGATTCATTAGATATGTTAAAAACGTGGTTAGATGCAAATGGTCTTAATCTTTCTGTAACCAAGAGTAGTGTAGTTTTGTTTTCAAGAATGAGATCACCGCAACAAATTAAGGTGCTTTATGATAACTCATACATTCCTATAAAGACTGAAATTAAATTTTTAGGTATCGTGCTAGATAATAAATTAACAGGTCTGTCCCACTGTAATTATATTTCCACGAAATGTGAGCGTAACCTCAACATTCTTAGGTGCCTTGCTGGAGTTTGGTGGGGAGCACATCCCGTTTCACTAAAACTTGCTTATAATGGTCTTATAAGGAGTGTCATTGATTATGGAACTTTTTGTTAGCTCCAGGAAGTTCATTTGCTTTTAAGAAATTGGATTTAATTCAATCAAAGGCCTTGAGGATTATCTCTGGAGCAATGAAATCAAGTCCAATCAATGCTTTACAGCTCGAAGTCGGTGATCCACCTTTGGTTTTAAGAAGGCAATATTTATCTGATCGCTTCTTTTTTCGTTGTTTACAATTATCTGATCATCCGCTTATTCAAAAGTTATCTCAACTATATATCTTTATTTCGTCTTCATCTTATTGGAAACATAAAAAACCTCCATGTTTAATACAAAGTTATGAAAAATATAAATCCATAGAATCTCCCACTTTTACATCGTCCTGTTTTCCCATTTATAAATGCTCATATCAATCTTTAGTTTTATCTCCTAATATTAAATATGATTTTGGGTTATCAAAAAATGATTCAGAATTGAATGCCAAATTTATGTTTATAACTGACATTGAATGGAATGAATGGCACTACATCTTTACTGATGCATCAAAACCAGACAATAGCGGTTGTGTAGGTGTGGGTGTGTTTCATTCACAATTTAATATCGTTCAAAAAATTAAACTTCCACCGGAATCTTCAGTTTTTACCGGGGAATGCTATGGTATTTTAAAAGCTGTAGAATATATACTTTTAATGAAATTACATAAGGCAATAGTTTTCACTGACTCTATGAGCTCTTTGCAAGCTCTAGCCAAATATCCGTTTAAATCAAAACCAGTTTATCCCATTATTTGTGACATAAGACAAAGTCTTTATCTTTGCATGTTGAGAAGGTATTCCGTTTCTTTTGCCTGGTTACCAGGACACAGTGGTATTAGCGGCAATGACAAAGCTGACCTTATTGCAAGAGAGGCTGTAACTTGTGGTGATATGTATCCGTATCATAATTACTGTAGTGACCTAGCTTGTCTCCCAAAAATATATTTAAGGTATGCCTGGAAGGAATATTGGGAAAAAACAAGTACAATAAAAGGAAGATTTTATCGCCTTATACAACCCGATATTCCTTTCAAACCATGGTTTTGTAAATTAAAGCTTGGAAAGACCGCAACAACTATTATAACTCGTATGCGTCTAGGTCACGTATGCACACCTTCTCATTTATACAAGCTTGGTATTGTACAAAGTTCGTCGTGTAATTGCGGTGCTGAAGTGGCGGACTTGAATCATATATTCTTCTCATGTTCTAAATTTGACCACACCTCCCTTTTTAATCATCTCCGATCCATCCGTGTTCCATTCCCAACTTCTATTCTTACTCTACTTTCTTCCAATGATCCTATTATCTATAAAATACTATCTTCATATATATATGATAACAATATTAAGATTTAGTTATATTACATGAATACATTTATAGTTGCATCAATTGCTTTTCCTATATATTTATAAGTATATTCTCATATGTACAAGTATATCCTTCATATCCTATAAATATCCTAGACCTAATCCTTATCCTTTCTAAATTCGTTTGTGTTAGGTATTTTTATTACTATTATCGTTTCCCCGTTTTGTTCTTGGCAAAATACCCTAATATCGGGGTGAACGCCACATAAGAAGAAAAAAAAAAAAAAAAAAAAAAACCCGCCTGTCAAGCGTAGCAACTACGGCCAAAACACCCAAGGGAAGGCTGATATGATGACTGATATGATGATTATAGATCATAGAAATATATCTTTATCAAATTTCCAAGTAGTTCAGGAACTTTTAAATTAGAAATTATATTACACGTTGCTTTAATAAAAGCAAACTTGAGTAATTTATTGTGTGACAAAACCTACAAATGTAATAGGTACTTTAGAGTTAAATTTGAACTCAGGGAGAACTGTCAATTTTGACAGACATTGAATGACAGTTTGTGTCTGATTTCGAATTTCAATTCTGTTTACAAAATTTGTTTGTAAACAAGTATTAAAAATTCTTTTTACTTTTCCTTTATTTTACTTTCGTGTTTTACAACAATTAATTATGGTAATACTTTATTATGCCTATCTAAATTTATTAATTCTTATTTAACAAAGTACATATGTAATGTATTATTATTATTATATATTATTATTATATTATTGTTGCTTAGGAACCAAAAACAGAATTACAGCGCAATGCGGTGGTGGCAGCCCGCCGCAAAGAATTGGAGGTTTACCAGAGGGCCTTGGATATCCAGTGGTTGAACAATCGTATGGAAGACGGTAGAATGGGTCGATGTCTTGCGCTCATACAGAAAGAGGCTGAGATGGAGAAGGAATTTCAAAAGGTAAGTACTTAAACAATTTATAACATGTCTACCATACTTTATCAGCCGTCAACTATCTGTTACTGAACATAGGCCTCCCCCTGTTAGGGGTTTTGCCAGTAGTTGCCATACTTGGCAGGCAGTTTGACAACTGCAGTTAGTCTTTGGTGAAGTTTTAAGAGGGATGCTACTGCCCATCTCTCGATCCTACAGTTCCCTTAGTCGCTTCTTACGACACCCACAGGAAAGGAATGGAAGGAAAGTGGTCTATTCCATGGTCTTATAGTGGGTCTTGAGTAGCGACACTCTATAGGCAAATGTAGTATAGGACAACTCCCAGTTAGATGGAGTGTTAACCTTAAATGCTTTGCAGGGAGTAAGTGGCTCAGGACTGTTCCTTACAGCAGTCTATGGGGGAGATCTATGTCTAGCAGTGGACGGATAATGGCTGAAATGATGATGATGATGAATGTTATAAATATGAGAATTTGTAGAGGTGCTGGGATATTTAGATTGTTGTTTCCTTGATATCTGCTACACACCCAGATTGTCTGTAAGAGATTGCTTTGAGCGATAAAGCAGCCTTTTGTATATGCACATTCTGTATAAATACTCCTTGTGGGGGGAAAAGGGATTGTTAGTAATGGAGACAAAGAATCCCACTGCTAGCAATATACCCAACCAGGTGGACCTTCTCGTGGTTCCCCCTGGAAACTATTATGGTTAATTCATCATAATGGGCTAACTGGCCTGTTTTCATTCTCATCAATCACCCATCACTGGTGCCCCGCCAGCGTATCCCATTAGCGCAGGCGGGGTTACCACTCCATTTTCATCCAATAAAAAAAAATACTCCTTGTATACATCTCTATTGTGTGCAATAAAGAGTTTATTATTATTATTATTATTATTACCCAATCTTTTTTATAATTTATACTTAATAATAGAGGATCATATAATTGTCTATATTATCGTTCTTGTTATCTATTCTTGGATACCAGAGGACAGATCATGCAGCAATAGTTAATGCTCGAGCAAAAAAAGAGACTGCTCTTGGCATTGAGGTAGCTAAGGTGCAACAAGAGGAGGCTTGCCAACTTCTGCGTAGACACCACCTCCGAGAGAGAGATCCGAGCCTCAGAGAGCTAATTAGGAAACTGCATGCTGGGTATGTCTGTAGGGATCTGAAGCAGCAAATATTGCAGAATGAGTATAGAAGACTGCAGGATAAGGTAATAAATGAATTATGAAATAAAAGGCTCTGATAATTTAAAAGTTTGTTATCTTTTCATTGATTTCAACTAAAACATGATACAGTAGATTTTTCTAATTTACAAACTTTGAATTAGTGAGTTGTAATATGACCAATACTAAAAACAGTGTGCTTACACTTCTGGCAAAATCTTTAGTGATAGAAAACACAATTAATTTGAGAAAAGGTGTTAGGCTTGCTCTCTGCCTTTTTAGAATCGTGTATGTTTGAAAAATGTCATTAGAAGGTAATATGGGCTAGTAAACCATTGCTAGCCCTTATTTCCCTCTGAATATCTTATTAGGAATTATACTCCTGAGCATATTAATTTATTTATATTTTATATAGAAAAGGCTTTTTATAACAGTTTGAGTAACTGCTTATCCAATAAATTTTACGTCATTTTTATATCTAATATTTGTGTCATACATATAAATAGAATTTATTTCGAATTATAGTCACAACAACCATACAAATGTAAAATTATCTTATACAATTTAAAAGATTATCTCTTGAATTTCTTGTGAGTTCTTCTCAGTAGATCCAAGTATATAGAATCATAAAAAAATTACAATTTAAAAGAGCTTGTAAATAAGTTTATTTGAATACAGATTATTTCTATTCTCTTATATTAATAATTAAGTCCTAATATTAGGTATTTTTTTTGTTGCCTGCCAGGATTATATTTGGTAAGTAAAATCTATACATATGTAAATGTAATAAAATTATCCATCTATATAACTAGACTGTTCCTTTTTGTGTTACTATGTTTGAAGATGTTTTGTAGACATTTTACATTGTAAATATTTGAATTTAGAATGTGGATTTTAAGTGATGAAGAATGATGTTCTTATGTATATATGAAAATGGCAGTTTCGATCATGTAATGTATATGACACCGACACTACTTACTGTACTGTAAACTCTATAATTGTAAATACTGCTGTAAATTCTATTAATTGCAAAAATTATTGTGATAATCCATTCAGAATTATGATTAGGATAAAAACACGAGTATATTTTCTTTTCATGTCTTAATGTAATTGCAAATATTTATAAATTTTTTTTGACATCGCTTAATAAAAAGTATTTTTATTAATTATGTCACAGCTCAATTAATAAGTTCCTTATTCTTGTGGTTACAGGCTGATGAAGAGCATGCCAACAGCATACTTCGCAACGCACTGTATAATGAAAAAGAATTGAGAGAACAAGAAGATAAACAGAAGATGGAACGTAACATCCAGTATTGTAAAGAAATACAACAGCAACTAGTCAATAGGCAACGCGTGAAGCAATGCCAATATGAGGACACGTTGATAGAAAAGAGGATGTTGGATGATGTCATCAGAACGCTGGCAGATGAAGACCAAAGGTGATGAATATTTTGAATTTTGTATTAACATTAATTTTCTTCATTTATATTTGTTTGTATTTGTCTGAGTATATATATGTATATACATAAAAAAATATTTAACTATATTTATTTGTTAATGAAAACATAATGAAAAAAGGTTCTTAAGTGGTGACCTCGAACAGGCAAACGTAGTGTAGGACGACCCCTTCACTAGATGGAGTGACGTCCTCAAATGCATTGTAGGGAGGTAGTGGATGCAGGTATCTCAGGGCCGTTCTTTATGGCAGTCTATGGGGGAGGCTTATGTTCAGCAGTGGACGGGTAGTGGCTGAGATTATGATGGTGGCCCATAATAATAGTTGCTTAAAAGGTATTTTCTTGGATACCTCTGTCCTATTCGTGTTTCTACCGTGAAGTAGTTGTGTTTGTATGACTGTATTTCGATTTGAAGAGTAGGATATGGTAGTGAATTTACAGAGTACAGAGGAATAACATCTGAGTCCTCAGGAATGGCAACGTATGGGAGGTATCATGGGCGAAACAGTATACTCTGTTATGTCCATGGTACTGTTTATGTCTATAGGCGATGGTTACCACTTTCCATCAGATGGGCCGTCAGTTTATTTGCCATTCTAAGTTGCATAAAAAAATATAATTGTACACTAAAACATGGTACGTGGTATACGTTTCAAAGGCAGATTAAAAAGAGTTGAATTTAAAACATGAATCCTGTGCTTCATATTCAGAGAGCTGCAACAAAAACGTGAGCAAATGGAGAAGATGCGCAACGAAATGATAACGTTTAAAAAGGCGCGTGACGCGTGGCGGGAGAAACAGAAGCAGATGGTGATCGTCGAGGAGCGGCAGGTTGAGGAACAGAGGAGGGCAGCAGTCGACAGGAGCTCAGCTGTGTAAGTGCTTAACTGGCTGGGTGCCAGCAGTCGCCACCTTTGGTAGAACCACAATTAGGCTTTGATGTTTTTAGGAAGATTCTGCTGCTCATCTTTTGACCATTAAGCTCCGTTAGTCGCCTAGGTTAAATGTTATGTTAATATGAGATTGTTTGGTTTGTTAAAATATTACTATACTATATGCTGTATATATATATATATATATATGCCTGGACCACACAGCATATAGTATAGTGTATATTACATTTCATAGTAATATTTTAACAAACCAAACAATCTCATATTAACATAACATTATTATATATATATATATATATATATATATATATATATATATATATATATATATATATATGTTATAATGCTGTGAATACCTATAATAGGCATGTGCATTAATATTGTATTATGTTTAATGTTTGTTATACCTATATGTTATAATGCAATATGCTGTTGGTGTTCCTTAAATAAATAAATATATATATTATATATATCTTATATATAAAATTCTCGTGTCACGGTGTTTGTTACCAAACTCCTCCGAAACAGCTTTATCGATATTTATGACATTTTGTGTGCATATTGGGTAGGCTTGAGAATCGGCCAACATCTATTTTTCAATGATAAGGGTGACCCACCCCAAAATATTTATTTTTTTGACAATTTTTTTATTTTTATTTTATTATAATTTAGTATTGAAAAATACATACAACTTTAAATTTTCATCGTTTTACGATCAACCCCTGTATTTTATATGCGATTTTCATATTTCGCAATAAGTAGTAAAACAACGTTTACGGGGTCAGCTAGTATATATATGTGCCTGGATAATCTTAAAACATTTCCAAAGCCAACTGCGGTTGCTAATCCGCCTGCCATGGATGGCAATTACTGGCAACCCCCCCCCACCACCCTTTCCTCTATGGATGACGCTTATATATAGCAGTACACAGTTAAAAGCTGATATGATGATGTACTACATATATGGGACGGAAAAGGACATAGGCTATTTTTTATTCCCATAAGTAAACGTATCACCGTCACGCGGACGAACGGGTAAACGTTAGTTATATCACAAAAAGAATCATTTTCACTTTACAGTGTGGCAGCAAGACAAGAGACACTGCGAAAAAGAGAGGAATTGAATGCTCGAATCGCTGAGAAAATATTAACTGACGAGGTAATCTCACGGTCGTTTTTGTTACTGGCTCATTGATCCAATAGACTGTGTCCTGAAACCTTAATCTGACTATTAGGAATATTAAAATAAAAAAAAAGATTGTGTGCCGACTTCAACTGTGGCAAAATCATTTATTTTGATTAAAAAACTAAACTGCTGAACCGATTTTGATAAAATTTCCATTGGACTAGTCTACAGGTGTCCCAGAACTCAACATCAAGCTGAAACGGGGTGACAGGATTGATTGTAACCGAAGCCTTTCAAAGACGACAAATGTTGAAAATTTTAAATTCATAGTTTAACAAACACATACATACATACATATCTGTCACGCCTGTCTCCCATTAGGGTAGGCAGAAACAATGGAACGCCAAATGCGTCGATTCAAACAAACCTCTTTCGCTTCTTCCACATTCATCAATCTTGTCAAATAGTTTAACAAATAGTGTTAATTCTAGAAAACTTGGGGCAATTGTGTCATTATTTTTGACTGTGGTTTTTTTTTACACAATTTAGAATGGCAAAGAAACTGACGGCCTACCTGATGGAAAGTGATAACCGTCGCCTATAGACATGAGTAGTACCATGGACATAACAGAGTATACTGTTTCGCCCATGATACCCCCCATGTGTTGCCATTCCTGAGGACTCAGGTGTTATTCCTCCGTACCCAGTAAATTCACGCCATCCCACCCTTCAAACCGAAACACAGCCATGCAAATACAACTACTTTACGGTTGAAACACGAATGGGACAGAGGTACCCGAGCAATCGACTTTTGTACAAAGTCTCCCTCTGGTAAAAGTTGGTTCTAGAAATGCTATTTAGGGTTACGGCTCCAAAGTTTAAATGAACAAAAATAATAAAAATTAACCACAGTAACCGAAAAATGGTTACAGTTTGACCAAATTTCTAGGTTTTTCTTAAATGCCCATAATTTTCAAACTGCATGGGATAGATTTTTTTTTATTATTCTTATGATGGTGACAATTTATCCTGTTACCCCGTTTCGGCTTGACGTTGAGTTCTGGGACACCCTGTATAAGTATATTCTTAAAGATAGAAAAATAATTTTACAATTTTATTTTAGTGCAGTTGTTTTCAAGCGATGGCCTTACCAATAAGCAGCATTTTAACCTTATTTCCCATTTAAATTTGCTTTAAAAAGGCATAAAAAAAGTTCCAGAATAATCAGCTTTTTCAGGTGTCCAATATTTCATAGTAATAATGACCAATAATTCACGCTAATCTTCAAAACTATTGAACCTATTTTAATAAAATTTTATAAATAAGTATTGTCTGTTCCAACTTGAGTGATAGAATAAACAAAAGTGTATCCAGTAGATGGCAGTAGGGGACAAAATAACTTTAGATGGACGGTTTAGTGACATTTAGTGACACAAATAGATTTTTTTTTATACCACGAAGGTGGAAAACAAGCATACAGCCCGTCTGATGGTAAACCGCCACTGTAGCTTATGGACGCCTGCAACACTAGGCGTGTTATATGCATGTTGTCGACCTTGAAGAATTTAATGTATCATTTTTGAAGGACCCCATACTGTAGTCTCTAGGGAAAACCTCGGCAGAGAGCTCATTCCACAGCCTGAGCGTTCTCGGAAGAAAAATTCTCTGAACCAAAATGGCCACATACAATGCGGCATTGTACGTGACCATTTCGGTTCAAGCGTGAGAGGATGAATTCCCTGTCGATGGCGAGAGGTGCGATGGTAAAAGGTGGCTGTAGGCGTAATTTCAAACGATTCCTCAAAACTCAACGTGCACGATGTCGACCTTGTAGAAACCTTGATACACCCTTTTTGTAGAACCCCATTATTTGTTGAACCTCACCAATTTTTCACGCTGTTATATATTGCACAATTCCAGGCGGCCCGTCTGGAACGGGAGAATATTATAAAGCTTCTCCAGGAACAAGAATATTTGGAGAAGAACGTGCAAGACGACATCGCCTCTAAACAGAAGTTGGAGAGAGTGAAAATTGATACTAAGGAGGCGTTGACAAATCAGATGGAGATGAGGAAACGGGTGGCGAGAGAACAGAGGGAGAGGGAAGCGCAGTTTAGAAAGGAGGCATGTATTGTTAACATTCATATATATACACAATACAAGGTATGTACACAAGTGTGTTTGTCAAGGGTGTTCTTCTCTAGAAATCTGTCTGATCCTAGAATAAGTGTATACGGGTATGCGACCCCGGCCTTCCGAGCTGCTGCAGTGTCCTAGTCCTGTCCGCAACTGCAGTATCCCCCCTTTCCTTTGCCACATAAACCCCTTATTCCTCTTATTTACCAATTTTCTTAAAGCATTTCTAACATTCCCTTTCTTTCTTCTTTAATCCTTTCCTCCAGACTCTTCTTTTTTAAGAATTTTAATTTTCCTTCAACCGACTTAAAAAAAGTGGTTCTTAAAAAGAAGAAGGATGGTCATTAAAAAATGAAAACAAAGGGTATACCGGTTTCTTGCTGGTCAACCTGACAGAATGTATTACTGGCAATGAGGTTGCTAGATTCTATTACTAAAAATCTTTTACTCTGTAAAATTTTAAATCAATCCTGTAATCTCTAATACTACTTTATATTTTATTTACTTACATCTACAATACAACACTCAACTCAACAAACTTGGGGGGGGGGGGATTGTTAGTAATTGGGTCTAACTTTCTCATTACTTGCAATACACATCCTACCAGGTTGACCTCCACGCGGTTCCCTCTTGAAATTATCGTAGTTAATTCTAGTAGAATTCGTTACGATGGTCTAACAGATCTGCTTTCATCGTCACCTATCATCCCTCACTGGTGCCCCGCCAGCGTATACCGATAGCACAGGCGGGGTTACCATTCCATTATCACCTATAAAAAAATCTCAACAAACTTACAACAATCTAATATTCTTATTTGAAATAAACATTCTTTAAACCGTACCTATTATATCTACAGGCAGAAGCAAAGATTGCAGCAGAGGAAGAGAAAGAGAGGGAGAAACAGAGGCAATTGAGAGAGAAGAAGCGACAGTACTCGCTGGAGCTACGAGATCAGATTGCGGATAACTCGCGGCGGAGACAACAGGAGAGACGCCTGGAGGAACAGCGAGCTCGTCGCGTGTTCGACACGGACAAAGCATGGTTAATATCTTATCAGCCGTTAACTGGTCACTGCTGGACATAGGCCTCTCCCATAAGGGGGGGGGGGTTTGATGGGTGAAAATGGTATGGTAACCCCGCCTGCGCTAACGGGATACGCTGGCGGAGTACCAGTGAAGGTTGATAGATGAAAATAAAAACAGGCCAGTTAGCCCATCATGATGAATTCATCAGGAATTAATCATGATAGTTTCCAGGGAGAACCGCGAGGAGGTCGACCTGGTTGGGTATATTGCTAGCAATGGGATTCTCAGTCTCCATTACTAATAATCCCTTTCCCCCGGGGGAAGGGGGGGGGGGGTTAGTAGCTGCCACGCTTGGCAGGCGGATTGACAACTGTAGTTAAGCTCTTGTGGGATTTTAAGAGAGACGCTACTACCCATTCCTTAACTATTAAGTTCCATTAGCCGCCTGTTACGACACCCTTGGGAAAGGAAATGGTGGACCATTCTATGCTGGGACCACACGGCAATGGTTAACATACTACCTTGTTGATGTCAGTCATTTTCTTCTGCGGCAAAACAGAAATGTAATTATGCATATATATATATATATATATATATATATATATATATATATATATATATATTTTGTTTTATGTGTTTGTATGAGGTGCATATACTGATGCACGTAGGAAAAACTGCGAGAAATAGGTAGTAATGTAATAAAACGTAATAACGACTAAACCATCTTTAAAAAAAACTTTTACTTTATCCGAGCAGTAAGTACTTTATATTATTCTCAATTTCGTGTATAATATAGTATATACCTGTATATATATATATGTAATTTTATTATGTATGTATATCAATAATTACTAGTACCGCATTCGAGTATTTTGACACTTCTCTATGGTTGACTGGGAGAGAACGCTTTTAGCATTAAGTCCGCCATGTACACATATTTGTACTAATGAATAATTAAATAAATAAATATGCGCAGGCGCATGGAAGTGGCAACGGAACGCGAGCAAATTATAAAGGAGCACGCGCCGCTCCTGTTGGGCAGCCTGCAGCCTGGCCTGCTGCGGCAGCAGGACCTGGAAGCTGTTAAGGCGGGCGCCGCCCAGCATCAGCACCTCGCTACCCTCGACCTGGAGTCACTTGCCAACACCCAGCAGATCCAACGCCGACCCAAGTGTAATGCGCAGTGCAGAATATTGAAAGAGTATTAACATTTGTATAGAAACTCAAAGCAAAGTCAAGAGAAGCCAATTTTTAAAGATTAGTGTTGCCCAGTGAATTTTCGACAGTTATAGTCTAAAAATAATCTAATATTTGATTAGCCTGTGTCCCATTCGTGTTTTAACCGTGAAGCAGTTGTGTTTGAATGGCTGTGTTTCGGTTTGAAGGGTGGGATATGGCGTGAATTTACAGGGTACAGGGGAATAACACCTGAGTCCTCAGGAATGGCAACGCATGAGTGGTATCATGGGCGAAACAGTATACTCTGTTATGTTCATGGTACTACTCATGTCTATAGGCGACGGTTACCACTTTCCATCAGGTGGGCCGTCAGCTTGTTTGCCATTCTAAGTTGTATAAAAAAAGCCTATAATAGTGACTATAATCTTCATATCAGCTTTTAATTGTCCACTGTACTACTTTTAATAAACGCGGCGTTGTAAGTGATACGAAGTTTATCGGGTCATTTAGTTGATTATGTAATCGAAACGACATGCAATGTTATTGACAGTTTGTATTTATTGCGAATTTAAAAGTGTATTATCGTTGTTATAGCTTAAATTGATAGTGATGTAATATTATTAATTAATTATATCCATATTAATTTCCTTATTAAGTTATGTCTGTCAATTTATAGTATCGTTAATTGTAATCAATTAATTATATTGTTGTATCGATTACTATTCGATTGTTAGATTGTATGCTGTCACAGTCGACACACCGATTAATAATATTTCTTACTCATCGACTGTTCAATAACTTTGGAAATAGTATTTTCTCAAACATGCTTGGAAATGTGAGCATTATTTTGACAATCTTCTTCGAGATAAATCAAAATTGCCGTACTGGCCATATACATGCGGGCAGCGGCCGGCAAAAGTTGTATAAAAATCCATATCAGTCGTGTTTTGCGGCCAGATAAATTACTATGTAAACTCATATCTGTCCTGTAATTTAAATATGGAATGACCTTTTACTTCGAAACGTGGCTACCAAGGAGGTAACTAATAAAAAGTTTTATTTAAATTTCGAACTAGTTTGCAAATAGAAAGCTGTTTATTAAAAAAAAAAAACAAAGGAACATTATGGCGCGCGAAAAATTATTATTGTTCATTATTCGTCATTGAACTTAAAAAGTATTTTTTTTTATTTCCGCGTATTGTTTGACAAAACTACTATACAAGCCTTAGCCGCTTGATGGACTCACGTATGTGTGCCTCGGCTACACCTTGGCCCACATTTGCACGTTCGTCCACCAATGCCTCAGTTGCTGGCCGCTGCAGTAATGTACTATTTAAGACAATAAAACGTTATTACTAATGGGAACGTCCAAATTCTGTCAGATAGACATAATAATATGTTATTTTTTCGGACACAACCTATATACATTTTCTTGCCCTATGTTTGTATAGATATAAGAATTAGGTATCTGCACTTGAGCTGCAAGGAAACACTAGAAATGTAAAAAAAAAATATCATACACAAATAATAAAAGTATACCTATCAATTTAAAAAAAAAAAATCTAGTATTGTCTTTCAAAGAGACTATCAAAAACATGTTACTCTGTACACTTTTTTGTTAATAAATATTTATAGTTTTATATGTTTGTTTTTTTATGCAACTTACAATTGCAAACAAGCTGGCGGCCCACCTGATGGAAAGTGGTAACTGTCGCCTATAAACCTGAGCAGTACCATGGACATAACAGAGTATACTGTTTAGTCTATGGTACTCCTCATCCGGTGCCATTCCTAAAGACTCAGGTGTTATTCCTATGTACCCTGTAAATTCACTGCTATATCCCACCTTTCAACCAAAACACAGCCATGCAAAAACAAATGCTTCACGGTAGAACCACGAATGGGACAGAGGTGCCCAAGCAAATGACTTATGTACAACATCTCCCTCTGGTATAAGGGTAGTTTCGAATTTTAAACAGCGTTATTGTTATTCATTTGCTTTAAATACCTGATTATCAGACATAGTCATTCGTATGCTGATCCTGATTACTAGACGTTGCATATCAAGTAAATCATCAGATATAATTATATAGCGAGCAAATATTGCACAAGCTTAGTTAACAAGAGTCGAAACTCAAACAATTAGAGCGACCGCCAACCGTCGACGGGCCGCACAGTTCACAGATAATATTTAAACGGGTGGAATTAATTTCAAATTCGCCGCGCGAATATTAAAAGGGTGGCCACGTAGGGTGACCATGGAACAACATACAAATAATTGTGTAAATATTTTAACCTACATTTTTTCCAAAATTTACTTTAAACCCCTCTTGTGGTGGGAAGATGGCAAACTAATCCTCGGTTGAGACACAGTCACCTATTCTATATTTACATACATACATACATATCTGTCACGCCTGTCTCCCATTAGGGTAGGCAGAAACAATGGAACACCAAATGTTTCGATTCAAACAAACCTCTTTCGCTTCTTCCACATTCATCAATCTTGTCATACACGCTCGCCGGTTACGGGTACTTTTAATTTGGTCTATTCTATATTTATATTCAATTATATACATATTCAATATCTAGAGTCATTTTGGGGGGAAAGGGATTGTTAGCAATGGCAAATACCTAACCAGGTCAACCTCCTCGCGATTCCCCCTGGAAACTATCATGGTTAATTCCTGATGAATTCATCATGATGGACTAACTGGCCTGTTTTCATTCTCATCTATCACCCTTCACTGGTGCTCCGCCAGCGTATCCTGTTAGCGCAGGCGGGGTTACCATACCATTTTCACCCATCAAAAAAAATATATATCTAGAGTCAGGTTAAATACTTTTATTTTAATGTTGTATGTTAGCACACTAGGTTTATAATCTTGACTTTTGCTGTCATAATGTTGTAATTATTTTTAATGAATAAATAAAAATAAAATTATTATTATATATTTTTCTAGTCGGTTTCGAGGTAGACAGAGAGGACTGATATTTCTGTTCTTTCACCTCACATAATCCATCCACCTTCATATTTTTAAGCCATTTTAAAAACGGAGTTCTTTTAATTATTATCTGGTCATGGTACGTTAGTAAACCTATATTATAATGAACCTCACATATCTGTATTTTTTTTTATTATAACCAAGAATAACAATTATGATTGTTTAGAAATAAATCAGTCGTGTTAAAATTAACATGGTACTAAGATGAGAGTAAAAAATAACTGTTTTAAAATTGGTGAAGATATCGGCTAACATACCTAGACGCAAAAATACAGGTCAACTGAAAAGTCATTAAAAAAAAGTTACGTCTATAAATCTTTTTGGAAATCAGTAAAATAGTAAGCGGCTAAGTAAAATGGTAACGGTGTACTGAACATGGCCACTTGACGCTATAATTTGTTACAATTTTTGTTTATTTATTCATATATGTTATATAATAAGACCATATATAGAATAAATACATATAGAACAATTAACGACGGAAGATAGATTTTAAATTTAGAATAGAACAGTTGTATGTACTTACAAATTGCATAACGTGTGGTCACCGAGCGTAACTCGTGAATTTTAGCATTTTTGCGCAATAAAGAAATAAAGTTGCCAGCTCAGCGTTTCGGTAAACACACGTTAGCATTCATTGGGACTCTGATAAAAATCAGGAAAATATCGTTCCGCAGCACCCCTCTACATAAAATCGACACTTCATCTGGTTTTATTTGTTCGGTCGCCATTCCGACGGCTTATCTACAGTTGCCAGTATAAAAATCATGTTTATTAACATGTGTGCTGTTTGCGGTACCATACACTTGTTTGTATGATGTGTGCGTAACGGCTTTTTTGTTTTAATTTGTTATTATACTTATTTTTTTTTAAGATAATTTTACGGCTTTGGACGTTTACTTTTTGGCCATTTTTATTATCTATTACTCTTATTGTAGTGAATTTATGATAGATAGATAGATAATTTATTTGCTTACTTATAGCACACAAATAACAACAAACATACACATGCACAGTGAAAAAAGATAAAAGAATACATATACAAATAAAAAAAAATGCGTAAAAGAGGTAGCAATTTTACCTTTCATGCGTATACTACAGGAACACAAAATAGTCACAACTCAGTTTGTTGCTTTACCTTCAAAAGAGTGAAACACTAATATTGTGTTGTGGCCAAAAGCCAGCCGAGAAATTCCTTAGAAAAAATAACAAGAAATGTATATAAAATACATTGTCTGTGGTGATACTTGTACATAGATAGAACAAGGATTGATGATGTAATAAATTAACAAAATATTGGATTTTCCTTTTAAACAGTGGATTTTATTTTGCGAATTTTATTACAAAGTCACCTAAAAATTTAAGATGTAAGAGATCTATAACATTTGTGGTAAAGACTAAATTATTGTATACTTTTATTACTAATTTGCCATTCTAAGTTGTATGAAAAAAAAAAAGAAAAAAAAACTGTACCTGGATACTATTGCCTTGACAATATCAACTAGATACATGGTCTTCTGCATTTGAAGATTATATTTGAGGCAATCCAACGCATTGTTGTAGACAACGATGTATTGTCCTAATATGCTTGACAGTCTACTAGAAACTTCACAACGATTTTTATCATGCGCTCTCGTTTCCTGAAAGCTAATGCCAAAACTCAACCTCATTAAGGGGGGGGGAAGGGATTGTTAGAAATGGGGAGGTTAGTCCTCATTGCTATCAATATACCCTATCAGATCGACCTCCACGCGGTTCCCCCTGGAAACTATCGTGACTAATTTATGGTTGAATTTGTCATGATGGGCTAACTGACCAACCTTTTCATCCTCACCTATCACCTCTCACTGATACCCCGCCAATGTATACCGATAGCGCAGGCGGGGATACCATTCCATTTTCACCCATTAAAAAAAAACTCAACCTCATTAACATTTTGATTGCTTCTCTTTGTGGCATTTGTCGTACTCTTGACGAACGACTCAAATTGGGAACTTTCTTTTTTATTTTAATATCTCTGACTGTAACAAGTCATTTACAATTATTGTAAACTTTTATAACATATTTTATTACTATTTTATTGCTGTCTTAATACAATAGGCAAATATATTGAATAAAAAAACAACCATATCAGTTTTTTATTCGATAAAATCAACTGAGGCAGTTGAAACAGTTATTAATAGTATATTTATATATTTTTTTTCTTTTTTTTTATATAATATGATGTGGTAACCGTCGCCTATAGACATGAGCAGTACCATGGATATAACAGACTATACTGTTTATACAAGTAATAGTATATACAAGGATATAGCATACACATGTTTGTTTGACTATTTGTCTAAACTACCTAATACTCGTATGTGTATTACAAAGAGGAAAGATTTTATTATTTAACTGACTTCAAAAAGGAGATTCTTAATTCGGTTGTATTTTTTTTTTCACATTACCTCATAATCTTGCCAGTCATATAACGATTTGGATACTATTTATCTAAAAGGATATATTTACTTACAAATTGATTCCATAGAAATTTTAGCAAAATCTATTTAGTAATTTAGTTTTCAAATCAAAATAACTGAGTAGAATTGAAAAACCGGTTTTTTTTTTATAGAAAAATACTTTAAATTATTGTTTGTAATGGATAATCTTAAAAATTCTTAAAATTTTTTATTATATGAAATGGTACATTATTTAAGGGTACTATGGGCTATATATATATATATTAAATACAGATTTATCTATCCGTGGGCACCGGAACAGCCGTCATCTGTCCACTGCTGAACATAGGCCTTTCTGACTGCTATAGGAGATGGGGCCTTTCCTTATGGCAGTTTACCATTGTGGGGATTTTGCCAGTACTTGCCAAGCTTGGTAGGTGAGTTGACAACCGCAGTTTGACTTTTGGTGATCTTTTAAGAGGGTCACTGTAGCTTATCGCTTGACCATTAAGTTCCCTTAGTCGGTTATAACGACACCCACGGGAAAGGAAGGGGTGGCCCATTCTATGCCGGGACCACATGGCTTGCCATGTTTGTACGCTAATAAAATCATCATATCAGCCTTTAATTGTCCACTGTTGAACATATGCATCCCCCTTGGGGTATTGCCAGTAGTTGCTACACTTGGCAGGCAGATTGGCAGCCGCAGGCTTTAGAGATGTCTTAAGAGGGATGCTGCTGCCCATCCCTCGCCCTTTCTAAGTCGATTCTTACGATACCCATGGGATAGGAAGTAGTGGCCTATTCTATGCTGGGACCACACAGCCTCAAGCTAATAAAATAGGTAATAGGAAATCCTAATGATTATATGTAGATTATGACATATTTGAATTGTGTAGAACCCACAGCGTTAGCATTGATTGCTTGCTAATAATAATTCACCAGCTAAGCCTTCGTCCATTTGCGTGAATCAGTTTGCTGCATCAAGTAAACTCGATTGTGTGCGATAGGTAATTTGCATGAGCACAGATACCTGTCAGGTGGACGTGCAGCTTGTGTCACAAGCTTAGTAGTATTAGTAAGAATAGCTCAATCGATTGATTAATTGAAAGAAGGGAATATTATTAGTAACAATACAATATTTTATTTAAAAGAAATACTTTTAATGTATATATATATATATATATATATATA